GGCTGCTCCAATGATCCTTGGTTGCATGGTCTTAAACTGCATGAATAGTGTTATCTACTGGCCTACCAGTCAAGTAGCAGGTCTTAGAAACTTGCCTAATTTGGTTGTGGAGCTTTTCTCACTTTTTAAGTGCTTCATAGCTGATCTTATTTTGGTGCCAAAAGGCTCAAGATTATGGTGGTTAGCTTGCTAACCTAATATACTCCTAAGGTCCAAATATGATGTTCTTTTTTTCTTTTTAATACTGAAATCTGAACCAGGATGCGTTTCTCAAATTTCACTTTACATCTTTATGCCTGCAGATCCCGTTCAAGAAAAGTTGTGGATAACATACGCTCTCAGTTCAAAGTTTTTGTTGAGGTTAGTACATTCAAAGTTTTGGAAGTGACTATATTTGCATTGAAATCTTGGTTTATTAATGTTCACACCATAAATATTTCACTACTAAAATTCCAGAATATTATGATGAAAAATCTAGTAAATTCCTGACTGTGCCAGAGTTTCTTTGAGTGTTGTTGTGAATTAGAATGATAAATCATATGAAATAACATTCTACAATTAGTTTATCTGATGTCAAATTCAAAAATGCAAAAAGTGAATGGAACTGTTTTCTGCTGGTGATTAATTTTATAATTATTTTGCATCATATACTGGTTTCTAACTTATTATATGATTGATGTAAGTTAATGGCATGCACTATAACTATAGGCTTCACATTATCATCAAACATTAACTAACTTTTAATTTTCTTTTCCTAACAGCATTCTATTTTTAAATATTTTTCTTAATTTCTGGTCTCTTTTTCATCTCTTGCTGCTTTAAGCATAAACAAAGCTTAAATTCTGGCTAGGTACTTTACGAAGTATATGCTATATAACCAAAGGAATGAAAACATGTGGTACTTGGTAACTTTGGATCATGCCAGAAGTGCCTTGACAGAATCATAGTTTTTAAATTAGTACTTGCTTGGTAGAGTACTAAATTAACAATAACATAATAAAATTATCTTCTTCAGTTCTTTGATGCTCTAGTTGCAAAACTATCAACCTCTAGAAATTTTGAGTCAAAAGCACCTCAATAATATCTATCTCGAACTACTTAAACTAGTGCAAGTTATTGTTAAGGCATAGATTTTAACTAATGTAGAAAACTGAAAAGAAATAAATGTTATAATTACTAATAGCTTACAGCATAATCATATCGTATACTGATCACAGCTTGCTATTGAGAATCCATTCATCCAAGACTATTATGTTGATTATAAAATGTAGTCTTTCATTTTATAAAGACCTATGTTTCTGTATTGTTGTATATCTTTGAAGCTGCCAAGACAGTCTAACACCTCGCGGGAACAACATTGTTAACAGTCAATATTTGTTATGCCGCTTTTTTTTTTGCACGTATATGTAATACAGAGTGTAGTTATTTTACAGTCATGACACACATACAACTATGCTCGTTCTCCAGTTCTAACAGAATGATTATGTGAAAATATGGCTACCGTGCCTTTGATCTTTTAATCTTCCATTTATTTGGTGTTAACCAAGTGAACCACAGTTTTAGGCGAATTTGAAAATTCTTACTTGCTTTTGTGGTAGGATAAGGAGTTTCATATATTTGCGCTCTTCTCATGGAAAATTTGTACTTGTGCTGGTCAGAGCTTGGACACATTATATTTTTAATTTAAATGAACGATAAGAAGTTCTAAGAGGGTATGTGGTCCATTTATATTAAATAATTTGATGCATACTCTTTTGAACCTTCATGCTTTTGTATTTCTATTAAGTAAACCATGAAATTGTCCTTGACTTGATGGTCTAAATAATCTGATGCTTCTGTATATTTTTGATGTTGTGCTCTAGGATCAATTTGGTTCATATTCATACCAAATTTGGCCTTTTGTATTATTTTATTGGAGTTGCATAAGTATGTAAGAGAGCTATATTTACATGGTGATTTGGTAAGGGAGCTGTATATACATGGCGATTTGGAAGCTTTGGGTTTTTCGTCACTTTCCTGCTGGATATTTAATATTTCATAAAATGCTTAATCTTTCTTTCTTTTTATATAAAAGCTGTATTTATTAACTTTTAACTTGTTATAACATAACTCCATGTGAATTTTTCCATAGATTAGACGCTTGCCTGTTGGAGATGGTATCTGGATTGTTAGACATAAACAGTCCAATAAAGAATATGTGCTTGATTTTATTGTTGAAAGGAAAAAGGTTGATGATCTTTGCAGTTCTATACGAGATAATCGGTACAGAGATCAAAAATTGAGGTTACAGGTAGGTTTTTTTGAACAATTTTTGGTCTAATAAATGGCAGCAGCTACTAAGAATAGTTACATGTCTTGTCT